TGTGTGTGTGTGTGTGTGTGTGTGTGTGTGTGTGTGTGTGTGTGTGTATGTGTGTGTATGTGTGCATGCATGTACGTGTGTGTGGTGTATGTGTGCATGCGTGTGTGGTGTATGTATGTGTGTGTTATGTGTGTGCACGCGCACATGTGTGTGGTGTATGTGTGTGCTGTGTGTATGTGTGTATATGTGTGTGCGCGCATGTGTGCCTGTGTTTCTTTGTGTAACAGCCCTGTCTGCCCCGGAACTTACTCTATAGACCAGACTGACTTCGAACTCACAGGGAGCCATATGCCTCATGAGCACACACATATGTGCGCATACACAGTTTTTTGTATTTTTGTATTGGGTGTTTTATGGCTGATGTTTATTTGGGTTTTTGTTGTTTATAAGACCTTTGTGCTTACTTTTTAAAAAGAAACATTTCTTTGTATTTGGGGAGGGCATTGTGATGTGTGTGTGTGTGTGGAGGTCAGAGGACAATCAAGCCTTTTCCTTCTTTCTATTATTTGGATTCCAGGAATTGAACAAGATGCCAGGTGTGGCCATAGGTGCCTTTACCTACTGACCCATTCCGCCAGGCTGTGTTTATTGTTTACCGTGATCTCTCACACCCTCTCTCTTCCTCCAGCTACTCGGAAGATCCATTGATCTCAATCGTCTGATTACGCAGCGTGTCTCAGCGGCCATGTATAAATCTCTAGAACTGGCAATTGGGCGGTTTGAAAGTGAAGATTTGACATCAGTGGTCGTAAGTACTAGAACTAATTTGTTTTCCTCTCTGTCGATAAAGTTGAGCTAATAGTAGGTCCGTTCTTGTGTAGACAACAAAAGATGGGAACTAATTGGCTTTTGACTGTGTCGAGTATTATTTTATTACCTGCTCTTAGTATTTATAATTCATATGAACTTAGAAGGGAATATCATGATCTTGAATAAATTAGACCTATTGGGGACCAGGACTGAAATCTATAAACTCCTGGATTAAAAGAAAGTGTTTGAATATATTTTATTATCAAGCATTGTATTAGATGGTTTTGTCCAGTTAGGCGCTAATGTAAACATTTTGGCATATTGAAGATACACTGGCCTAAGCAATGATAATGTTCAAAAGGTTAAGTATTGTAAATTCTCTCACCACCTACTGATATGTCGGCTTACAATTGCTTTATCAGGGTATATGTCCACTGTAAATCAAGAAATGTCTATATAAGCATATCAGTTGGGAAAACTGACCCAAAGTGGCCAATACCAGCTGGACTGTGTGCCGGTGGCAGAGACAGGGCCTTGGGCTTAGATGGTACATTGAGAATTAGGAGTGTTACGTAGTGATTTGTCCAGATTGGCTTTGCCGAAGCCTTGAGGACGCTGGTGAACATGTTCAGGTGACCCCAGAGCAGAAAAAAACAGGGCACAGTGGGTGTGACTGTAGAAGTGGGGGGCGGGTGTCAAGTTGAGCAATTTCTGGAAACCTACCATTGCCATGTTTCATATAGTTTCGGCTCACGTGTTGGTAGCCACCTCAATGCAACCTTTCAATGTGGTATGTCAGTGGGGATCTCAGACGGCAAGCCAATGCCTCCTCCCCGGGTGGCCCGTCTCTGTGCTCACCTCCCGTTCCTGTGGTTCCGAAGGAGCTGGATGGCCTCTTAGAAATCAACCGCATGACACACAAGCTGATGAGCAAGTACCTCACACTGGACAGCTTTGACGCCATGTTCCGGGAAGCCAACCACAATGTGTCTGCGCCTTATGGAAGGATTACCCTCCATGTCTTCTGGGAGCTGAACTATGACTTCTTGCCCAACTACTGCTATAATGGCTCCACCAACCGGTAAGCATGTTTAGCCTCACAGTCTTTTCTGCACAGCCCTCTCTCCAGATGCATCTACAATGGCCGATCTTCGGCACTGACTTCCATAGATGTCCCCATACACTCTCTCCCTCCTCCTTCCCTGGTGTTCTGGACTCTCGGGCCCTCCCTGCTTCTTCCGTTCACAGCCTTGGACCAGCACTTGGGCAGAGAGTCGTGGCTTTGCATCTGGAAATAGATTGACTGGTGAAAGGCTGGAGCCTGAAGCAGGAGAGCCAAGGCTCCACCTCCATGCTTAGTTGTGAGCGTAGACACAATCTCACGTGCATTGGAAATGACTGCAGGGAACTGCACCACCCGCTTTTACGTCTCCCCGATGTCAGCATGTGGCGGGCAATTCTACTTCTCGTGTTTCTGTCTGCAATGCTGTGGACTGTGAGAGTGTGGGTCGGTTAAATGCCTTCTTTCCCACTCCATTTCTGTTGCATTAACGAGAACAAAGTACCCAATTTGGTGGTAGAGCGGTTGATAGGAATAGTATTTAATGTCCACATTGGTCAGCAGAATGGAATTTCCTTAGGACCAGTGTGGTTTCTTTGCCTGAAGACTACCAGCAACAGGGTATGCCTTTAAGATAATGAGTCCCACCATTGGCCCATTTGACTTCTGTGACTGATGAAGGTGGTTGCTCCCAAGTTTCTCCGCTGTCCAGTAAGAAGATACCACAGTGTCGAGCATCCATTCCTGAATTAGCTATGCCCAATGTCAGAAAAATGTGACCTACAATGAAGGGGAAAATTAGTTCATAAAACACAAGCACAGAGGTAGCATTGTCAATATGGTCATAGATATAATACACTGTATTATGTATGCATACTGCATACTAGGATAATAGAATAAACTGGGCAGTGGTGGCTCACACCTTTAATCCCAGCACTCAAGAGGCAGAGGCAGGCTGATCTCTGTAATTCAAGGCCAGAATCATCTCAAGCCAGTTCCAAAACAGCCAGAACTGTTACACAGAGAAAACCTGTCTTGAGAAGGAAAAAAAGAGAAAGAAATGCATGTATTATGTGTCATATTTAATGTTTCACTAATGACATTATTTTGAACATTTTAATTTTTTGCTGTTTTTATGCATTCATGTATTTATTTGTGGAGTGTATTTACGTACATGTGTTCCATGACATGCTACTGCGGTCAGAGAATAGTTTTCAGGAGTATGTTCGCTCCCCACCAACATGGCCCTGTGGATCAGGTGTGGCAGTAAGCACTTCTACCCTCTGGGCCATCCCATGTTTTATGGCTGATCTTCATACTAGACAAGCTCAGTTAGGGCCTCCCTGGTCGAAATCTCACCGGCCGCTTATTCTTTGGGAAAGCAAATCAGGCTGTAGGTAGGCACAGGAAGAAACCTTTTGTGGCAAACAATGTATCTCCTGCTGATGCTTGTCCTCCTTCAGTGACTGGAGCTAAGACTTATCTCTCCTCTGCCCTCTCCTGCCCTGGCTTCATTACAGACAGGCGGAGGTTGGTGGTGTGGGACAGTCCTACACACGGGATCTGTCTCTACGGTATGAACAGCCGTGCACCCTAGGGGAAGGGTGCCTCTTCTGAGCAGCATCCTGATAGGATGCTCTTCCTAGAACAAATGTGTGACCTGGTGCATGAAAAGGCTCCCTGTATACACACAGGTGTACATAGGCACAAAAGCAGAGGCAGCTGAAGGCTTGTAGATATCCGGAGATAGGGCAAGTTGAGTATCGTGTATGCCAGGCTCATTTGTTTACTCTTCTATTGCTGTGGTAAGACATGACCAAGGCGACTTCAAGAAAAAAGGTTTTATCAGAGTTGCAGAGGGTCGAGGCCATCACCATCGGAATGAGAAGGCGTGTCAGCCGGCCGGCCTGGCAGCTGGAAGAGCAAGCTGAGGACTCAGGTCTTGAAGCATGAGACAGCACAGGGGGGAATGTGAGAGACTTTGCAACATCAAAACCCCACCCCCGGGAACATACTGCCTAAGCAAGGTTCCTTAAGCCTATCCTAGCAGTGCCCTTGACTGGGGACAACAGTGCCTGAGAGCATGTGGGACTTTGCTGATACCGGCATCCATTAGGATAGTGATACACTATCCTTTTGAAAGATATACACACAAAGTATTTTTCTGCCGGGCGGTGGTGGCACATGCCTTTAACCCCAGTGGAGGCAGAGGCAGACAGATGTCTGTGAGATCGAGGCCAGCCTGGTCTACAAAGCGAGTTCCAGAATAGCCAGTGCTACACAGAGGAAACCCTGCTTTGAAATATCAAAAAGCAAAAACAAATTACAAAGTATTTTTCTTCTGAATGCTCATTGAGAAGATTTTTGCAGCCCACAGTTACTAGGGTCTGACAATGGGTAAGAATCTGGCCCTCTCAACTGCATTCTGTCTGTGAAAGCCTTGGCCTGGCACACGTGCTTTGTGAGCTAACTATGGAAATGTCCTCTCTCTTTTAAATTTATTATACAGTATCGTGTGAGTTCTCCAAGTTTGTAGACTTACTTAGCAAACCTGTGTATGTATTTTTTTATGTGTATGAGTATTTGCCTGTATGTATGTGTTGGGGCCACCTGTGTGCCTAGTTCATCCATGTAAGATCAGAAGAGGACATTGGATCCCTTGGAACTGAAATTACAGACAACCGTGGGCCACCATATGGGTGCTGGGAACTGAAGCCAACCTCTGGAAGAGCAGCCAGTGCTCTTGGCTGCTTCCCTCCAGCCCCACATTTCAACTTTAATTTGAAAGTTTCTGCTTGGAAGATACGTTATCAAGATGCAGACCTTTGACTGAACTGTGTAAAAAATCCTTTAGTTGGCTTCTTAGCTCACAACTAGTGCTCTAAGTACCTGCGATGTCACACCTCATGCTGCCTTCACCCTGTTTCTAGAACGCAGCAAAGCCAAGGATGTGTTTGTTACCGGTTGTCAAGGAGTGCGTTAGACTCAGGATGCTGGGAGGCCAGAATCTTTGTGAACCTGAAGACTGTTTACAGGACGGAGGACAATTATGTTCCCGCTCTAGCTCATGAGATTGCATTTACTGTTATTTATCTGTGGTATTTTAGAGGACTTATATACTTCACTCTTGGGGTTTTAATTCACTAGGATTATCATATGTGATGTTATCGTTTAACTGGGAAGAAAATTTTAGGTATATAATCGGAAGCCCTGGAAGCTAAAGAATTGCTATTAAACTTTGTTTTCCTAATTTTCCCCTGTAATCTTTCTCGTTTAGATTTGTTCGGACAGTATTGCCATTTTCTCAGGAATTTCAGCGAGACAAACAGCCCAATGCACAGCCCCAGTATCTGCATGGATCCAAGGTAGGTTATTTCCTGTTTGGGTTACGATAGGTTTCAATTGCCATGGTAAGCCCCTGACTGAAATCATAAAGGAAGGGTTTGTTTCAGTTTACGATCGTAGTCCCTCATGAAGGGAAGTCAGAAGAGTTACCTGGAGGTGGCACTGTCCCCAGTGGCCTGGACTCTCCCGCGTCAATCATTAATCCTGAAAATGCCCCATAAACACGCTTCTTCGTTGAGCTTCCTCTTCCCAGGTGACTGTGTCAAGCTGACAAGAAACTAGCTGAGGCAGGAAGTTATTCCCTTTAACTCTTGAGGCCTCCGAATAAACCTAGTGGTATTTTAACTGACTAGCTGGACTTCCGGAGGAAATATAGCTTTAGATTTAGATGCCCAGAAGGGACCTTCTTTTCTTTTTCTTTCCTTGTTAGAAGTAGAAAAATCAGAAAGACACAAATGAATCATCACTAGCTTACATCGAATACCTAGCCAGAGAAAGAATTACCTTTAAAGGTAATTGTTTTAACTTAGCATACAAATGGCAGAGTTTGTTCTTGTGTTTCCATTCAGCTGTGTCATTCATTACACTTGGTTCTAATTTGTTGCCCTCTCTCGTGCCCTTCCCTGACTAGTGCCTGATCGTCCCCTCTGTTCCCATGTCACATATAGTCTAGGACGCCCCTCCCCCGCCCCACACCGTAAGATCGCATTCTCTAGTTCATGATCGCCTTTCTAGCTGTGTGGGAAGTGGGTCTGGGAAATAAGCATGCATTCTAAAGTATTTGGGTAAGGCAAAGTTTTACTTCTTTAGAAGGGTGCCTTCTAATCCAGAAGGCGAGCCTGTCCCACCAAGAATCCAGCTGGGTTTTTATTTCTAATGTGCAGGGTCTTGCATCTCACTCCTAGCGGTTAGAGCACAGCTTCACATTCTTACGTGATTGGCTAATTCCGAGAGCCCTGACTGGTAAATAGAATGCAGTTCTGCAGTTCTTAGCACCCGGCGACACCTACAGCACATAGTTTAATCCCATGAAGTGCTGGTTCTGGAGGAATTTTAATTTCCACCAAATGACTTTTTTAACGTTTTTTTCGAGTGAAGTTTGGTAGGAAGAGTCCATTTTTCCCATCATGTCGTAGACACACACACCACACACATACACACACACACACACACACACACACACACACAAAGGGAGGAGTGGGGCTGTGGGGATCATGTGCACTCTGGGACTCTTAACTTCCCAGACACCACAGCAGTCAATGACGGATTGACCCACATTCCCACCATTAAGCAATTTGTAACACACTACTGAGAGACCCCAGTTAAGTGCTCCATAACAGGGACCAGCACAAACCAAGAAGCCAGCTCTTAAAGGGGCCGCACAGTTTTTTACTGCTAATGCTGAGTCAGGAAACCTTCTGTTAAAGGAATCACGCCTCAGCTTGCCTCTAGCAAACAGCCCACCCAAGAATATGCTATTCCCAAGAAGCCATGCTTAACTCTATTGTGTCTAGAATTCCTTCCCCCAAGCTCTCTCAGGTTTTACTTGGATGTAGTTGGCCCACATTGGAGCCATTATGTGGGCGGAGACTGCTCACTCTTTTCCTGGCCACCCAGACACAAATAATCACACAGAAACTATATTAATTACAACACTGCTTAGCCATTGGCTTACGTATATTCCTAGCTAGCCCTTATATCTTAAATTAACCCATTTCTATTAATCTCTATATCGCCACAAGAGTGTGGTATACCGGTAAGGATCCTGCATCCTCCTCCTGCAGCTACATGGCATCTCTTGGATCTGCCTACTGTCTCTCTCTGTATATCTCTGTTTGGATTTCCTGCCTGGCTTTATTCTGCCCTGTCATGGTCCGAAGCAGCTTCTTTATTAACCAATGGTGATAAAACATATCCACAACATACAGAGGGGATTCCAAAATCTCCCTTAGGACTGCAATGTAATACTCAAGCAGGGTGCACACAGACAAATGCCACAACACATGGAGGGGAGTCTTCCTAAAGAGGCTAAGCAGATGTGTCAAGTGTTGTGCCCAGGGAGGAGAAGCCATCCAAATCCTCAGGTCTAGGGCTTCTCTCAGACTGGGAGGTACACTAGCTGTGTGACCAGCTCTGACTGCCGAAACCTGCCAAAAAGAAAAGCAGTTATTATAATAAATAAATTTGCCTACAAAAGTGACCTAAGAAGCATGGTCATGGCCCCTAGATCTAGAAAACCTTATCAGTCAGGAACACGGTGACTATTTTAATGAGTATGTTCTGAGAAGATGCATACAGGCCCCTTTTCGGGTGTGCTATTCCCTTTCCTGCCCACTGAAATCCTTGTTGTCGTGATGAGGTTCTCGTTGGGTGCTCAGGATGTGCTTATCAGTAATAAAGGGAGAGGGGACAGAAGGACCAAAAGCTCAATGTCGCCAACAGTAAACTTAGCAAGTTATCTACGTCAGTGATTCTCAACCTTCCCAATGGTGGTTTAAGATAGTTCCTCATGTTGTGGTGACCCCAACCATAAAATTATTCCATTGCTACTTCATAACTGTAATTATGGTATGATATGAGTCTTGATGCAAATATCTGTGTTTTCTGATGGTCTTAGGCGACCCCTGTCATTCGACAGCCCCCTCCCCTAAGGGGTCACTGCCCCCAGGTTGAAAACCACTGATCTATATGAAAGCATACACTCAGTAATGCTAGAAGTGAATCAAAATGGAATTCTAAGAACTTTTTAAATAACCCACCGCAGTGCAGGAAGAAATGAAACAAAAGAATAGGGAACAAAGACGAGAAAATTAAGAGAACAGTAGGCTTGTGCCACACACTGTCAGTGTGTAAATGTGATGCTTGTGAAAGATAAGGATTGACAGACTAGATTAAAAGACAGTTAGACCCGTGTGTAGCCTGTGGGAGGTGTGTGCCTAGTGTGTATGACTGTGTATGACGCAAACCAACAAAAATCCTTAGCTCAACTCTGTACTCAACGTGACTTGGTTTCTATTAATGATATCAGAAGGTAAAGGTAAGAATAAAAAGGTCTATGATATAAGGATTAGTCAGCACAGAGCAGGAGTGGCTTGTTAATATAAGATAAGCTAGACCTCAGAGCAAAAAACACGAAGTAGGAAAAATATATAAGATAAGCCTGTCGTGTTTATATGCCAGTGGGAACTTCTGTGTAGAGACAAAAACTGGCTTTTAAAGAAGAAGTGAGACCCTCCACGGGTCAGCTCTTCTCTCAGTAGCTGGGAGATCTGTTGAAACAAAACCAGCAGCAATGAAGGACTGGGCCTCAGCACTACACAGCGCAGGATGTATCTTCCAAATGCCATGGGAGTTTACCAGGATAGACCATGTCTTGAACCACAGATAAACTTACACAAAATTTAAATCTGGAGTTGAAATCAGACACACAGCAAATGCAAACTATATATTAATTTAAAAAGTTAAAAGATGGTCTGGGAAGTGGCTCAGTAGGTGAGAGTGTGTCCTGCATAAACACGAGGATCCGGGTTCAGATCTCCAGCACCCATGTCATAACATTAAGATAGAGGGGCTGTTATCCCAATGCTGTACTTATGTCATTTCCCAAATACCTTCTCTCTCCCTAAGAAACCAGCGTCCACCGTCCCATTACAGTCTCTGCTTATAGTCTGATCTCAAAAAGGGTCCAGATCTAGTGGATAAGCACCGTACATGTCATAGGGAAGTCGCGGGTTCTCTTCATCTAAGATGTGTGTGTTGAGCGCATCTCCAGATGCGTGATTGCGCGGGGACTATGTTGAAGGCTTTGCTGTCTCTTCCCCAGGCTCTGAACCTCGCCTACTCCAGCATTTACGGCAGCTACCGGAACTTTGTGGGGCCTCCTCACTTCCAGGTCATCTGCCGGCTGCTCGGCTACCAGGGCATCGCGGTGGTCATGGAAGAGCTGCTGAAGGTTGTCAAGAGCCTGGTGAGTTTCTCTGCGGACGTGCTTTTCCTGTAGCATAGATTCCATGGGTGAGACAAAGCCAACCGCGGGGCAGGGGTGTCTTGCCGTCTGGGCTCAGCCTCTGACAGACAAATGTTCAACTTAGCTCCAGACATTCTTCCTATCTAAAGAGAATGGTTCTTCTGGATATAGGGCTGTACCACTGGACTGCCTGCTTCTCGCGAGACTGAGGCAGGAGTCACCCCAGCCGTCTGTGAGAACGGATGCTGATGGCTAACACAGCCCTTTGTGTCTTTGTAGCTGCAAGGCACGATCCTGCAGTACGTGAAAACCCTGATGGAGGTGATGCCCAAGATCTGCCGCCTTCCCCGCCATGAGTATGGCTCTCCTGGTAAGCAAGGGTGCCTGGAGCACCCCACCTGAGTACAGCTCTGGAGAGGAGGGAATCAAGTTGGAAGCTACAGAGAAGAATCAGATGTGTCCTTCACGGCAGATAGGGGGGAATTTGCCTATTTAGAGTCCAAGAAACAAATACACTTTACAAGTAGCCGGCAGGCAAGTGTGCAGGAAGTGACTTTGGGATTAAAGTTTCCAGTTAAGGAAGCTGAAGAACCCAGCTTGTCAGCCAGCAAGAATTTTGATATTGTGGTATTGAAATTACTAGGTCCTGTTGACGAGAGTTTCTGGCCCAGCCAGTCCTGTAGCCTTCAGTCCCAAAGACTTATATTAATTATAAACTGAGGCTTATATTAATTATAAACTGTTTGACCTATTAGCTCAGACTTATTACTAAGTACCTCTTACAACTTAAATTAACCCATAATCCTTGTCTATGTCTAGCCACGTGGCTTGGTACCTTTTCTCAGTGAGGCATTCTCATCTTGTTGCGTCTGGGGTGGCGACTACAAGGGGTCCTGTTGTCCTAGTAGCCTCAGTGGGGAAAAGCATTCAAAGTAGCCACAGGGCCCTGCTCCCTGTTCCCTGGCCTCTTAGCCATTTGATAGTCTTGTTGGTCTGGAAAACACTCTGCCCTCTCTGGATGCAAAAACTTCACCCAAAGTCCTTGAATGTGTACTTCTGGGTCAACCTGTGTGACTTTCAGGCCCGTATGAGGACGTCCAAATAAATAGCCATAATGATGTCAATGTTGCTTTAGGATTAAGCTGGACTCTCGGAAGCTGTCACTCAAGGGTGCCTTTTACAGTCTCTTACCTGATAGCATTCTCTCCAAAGGTGGCATCACTTAGTTACTTTAGTACCGCTGTGACCAAATACCTCTTAAAAGAAACTCGGGAGATGAAAGATCTTGGCTCTGTGCTTTGAGGCAGAGCATCACGGTGACAGGTGAAGAAGAGGCTGTTTGCCTTCTGGCAAATGAAGCAGAGAAGAGTCAAGGGCAATAGGTAGTCCCCATGGACATGCTCCCAGTAACTCCCACTTCTAAGAGGCCCCATCTTACCTCACTTCCTAGTAATGCCATTATCAAGAGAGGAATCTGTGCATTCGATCACGATAATCTAGCTGTCTGAAAACACCATACACCAGTAGAGGTGTGCTTCATACTGCCGCCTGTGTGCTCCTCCGGTCTATAGTCTTGTGAATGGACCTCAGCCCACACATGATCCAGCCTGCTGCTGCGGCTGAGCTCTCAGATATGGCTGGCCCTGGCTTAGAAGAGTCCTGTTTCAGTTCACTGATAGGAAGCAGATAAAAAATAATGTCAAGGCACTAAAACTACGGCTGGAAATTTAAATGTCGAAGGGAAAGCCAATGGATCGGATAAGTCTTGGTAGGACACAGATCAGTAGTTGCCATCATTAAGTTTTGCTCATGCTTGTTGAGGGGTAACCCGGGTGAAAGGGTCTTCACTACGCTGGGTAGCTAGATGGTAGTACTGACAAGTGGGGGGTGGCAGGAACAGGAGGCATGAGCTCTCTGACGTGGGCAGGAGGGTGGATTCTTGAGAAGACATTGAGGGCTGACCTGTGTCTTAAATGGTTTGAAGTATGTTACATCCAACTTTGTTCTCAGGGTAGCTTGGGCTCTTAGTAGCCTGTCCACTTTTGCTCAGGTTAGCTGAAGTTAGTCATATTGATCAGAAGGACAGGCACTAGTGCTGGTCCCGAAACCCCAACACTCGCCTCTGCTGCCACAGGCATCCTGGAGTTCTTCCACCACCAGCTGAAGGACATTGTGGAGTATGCAGAGCTGAAGACAGTGTGCTTCCAGAACCTGCGGGAGGTGGGCAATGCTGTCCTCTTCTGCCTGCTCATCGAGCAAAGCCTGGTGAGTTCCCAGTTCAGCCCCTTCCCCCATAGTGGTCAAGGTTGCTCCCTGCTGGGGATTGTTTACTTTGGAGCTCTTTGGTAAGGACATCGGTGTTGCAAAATAGCTTTTTCTTTTTCTTTTCAGTTTTTTGAGACAGGGTTTCTCTGTGTAGCCCTGGCTGTTCTGGAACTCTCTCTGTAGAACAGGCTGGCCTCAAACTCACAGAGACCCGCCTGCCTCTGCCTCCCGAGTGCTGGGATTAAAAGTGTGCAACATCACCACCAGGCCACATCATCATTTTTTTCATGGCTGTTTATTGATTCCTTACTTTTGGGGAACAAGAATATAATGTGTTTCTTTTTTTCAAGAGTGTTTTTTAAGGATGGGCAGTGGTGCCACATGCCTTTAATCCCAGCACTTAGAGGCAGGAGGATCTCTGAACTCAAGGCCAGGCTAGGCTGGTCTACAGAGTGTGTTCCAGGACAGCCAGGGTTACACAGAGAAACCCTGTGTGATAGATAGATAGATAGATAGATAGATAG